TCAGGAACTCCAACATTTAATGGCTAGGTGTTACTGGTTGAATTGTCCTCCAAAATTTGTATTTGAAGCCCTAGTACCTCAGATTGTGACTGTATTTGCAGACAGTGCCTTTAAAGAGGCAATTAAGTTAAAACAAGAACTGTAGAGTGGGGCCTAATCCAATCTGACTGGTGTCTCATAAGAAATTTGGACATACAGAGAAACAACAGGAGGGAGTGTACACAGAAGTAAAACCATGTGAGGACATAACAAGGAGGCAGCCATCTGCAATCCAAGGAGAGAGGCCTCAGGAGAAACTAAATCTGCTGACACCTTGATTTTTGTACTTCAAAGCCACAAGAACTAAGAGAAAATTAATTCTCATTGTTCAATAGCCACCAAGACTGTGGTTTTGTTATGGCAGCTCTAGCAAAATAATACACTAGGTTAAAAAAAAAAAAAAAGGTTGTGGGGGGAATATTGTACAAAGATGGTAGAAGATAATTCCTGGAGATTCTTTTTTCATAATAGAGTGTTTTGTCACAGAAGTCAAGGCAAGAGTGTTTCAAGTGTGGGAAGCAGTTAACAGTGTTAAGCTTGGCTGACAGGTCAAGATGAAAACTAAAAATTGTTCTCTGGATTTAGTGAGTTGGAATTTGATAGTATTCTTTGAGAGAGCACAAGCAGGCAGAGGGAAAGGGAGAAGCAGACTCCCCCATGAGCAGGGAGCCTGACATGGGGCTTGATCCCAGGATCCTGGGATCATGACCTGAGCAGAAGGCAGACACTTAACCGAATGAGCCACCCCTGCGCCCTGAGTTTGATGATATTCTTAACACAGACTCTTGGTGGTGTAAAGTGCAGAAAGACAGAATGATATGGGTTAAAGAGTGAGTGGGGAAGTGAAGAAATGACAGAAGATTATGGACAACTCTTGAGGTTTGATAGGGGAAGAGAATAAGGAATGGAGTTCTTTTTAAATGGGAGAGACTTGACCTTTTTTCTCAATGGAAGTTTTCAATTTAAAGAAGAAATTGAATGTATAAGCAAAGGAATTGGTAGAATTGCATTCTTGAGAAGGGTGGAGGGGCCAGTTTACAGCTGAGATTGGGGAGGGTCGGCCTTTTGTTAACAGGGAAAGAAAGGCTGGGAGCAGATGTGGACACCTTCAGAGTAACTCGGGATAAAGGGATGGTTGCTTATTTTTTGGTTGGTGAAGGTCCTTGGTTTTTAAGCCATCTTTGCTTCCTAAAATGAAATCTCAGTTCAACTTGCCTTTATAACTAGTGTCACTTCCTCTCATATTCTGGCATTTGATTGGTTGGTTGTCTATTTTCAGTGTGGTTATGAGTCTTCACCTTAATGCCATTGGTATTTTAGTGAATTTTGTGAAGCTTCAAAGGGCAGTTGCTAGTCAGACACCATAAAAATGACAAGTTTCTGTCTTCTTGAGTTTTATGTTTAAATACTTAAGCCAGGGGCGCCTGGGTGGCTCAGTTGGTTAAGTGGCTGCCTTCGGCTCAGGTCATGATCCCAGGGTCCTGGGATCGAGCCCCACATAGGGCTCCTTGCTCCGCAGGAAGCCTGCTTCTCCCTCTCCCACTCCCCCCTTCTTGTGTTCCCTCTCTCGCTGTGTCTCTCTCTGTCAAATAAATAAATAAAATCTTTAAAAAATTTTTGAAAAAAAAAAAATACTTAAGCCATCTGGAGTTTATAATATATGGGGGAAGTCTGACACTTTTCCCAAATTGCTAGCCAGTTATCTCAATACCATTTCAATATATCTGAGTGCCTACCAACCACTTTGTGCAATATGAGAAATCATCTTTCTTAAAGACCTTAGTATTTCACCAAGGGTTAAGTAAACAGACCAATAAATATAATACGAGCTACAACAAAGAAAGTGCTATAACATAATTATCATTAGCAGTTCAAACACAGATTAAATTTTTATACAATTACAGGAAATGCCTTTTTCTAGATTCTTACAGAAAACCAGACCTGATAGGGGACAGTGGAGAGCTGGAGACAGGGGAAGGGGTTTAGAGGAGTAAGGCAGTCCAGGGACAGGAACTAACATGATGAGCAAAAGCCGAAGTGAGAAACTGCAGGATGTCTTTGGGGAATAAGGTTAGATTATGTGGAAGGTAAGCAGTGCTGAAGTATATACTGTAGTTAGTAGACAGCAAAGAAAACCCACTGGCCTAGAGATGGTTTGGGGCTATAAAATGCTTTGAAGCTATACTTGAAGAAGGTTAATTAACTTAGTATACACTTTAGATTGATTGGGGGGAAAAATTAAGTCACAGGCTTGTTACAAAAGGTAAAGGGCAGTTTATTAAAAATCAAGAAAATATATCAGATTGTACATATGGAAGAAGTTCAATAGACTTAAGATCCTCATTATCTCAATAAGCAGGGTTTTCATACTTATGTAGAGGTACAAACTTTTCCACAGAAGCTCATCAGTGAATAAAACCTTGTATTGTCCTCATACCCATGTCTTAGCCTCCTCAAAGGGTCAGGCTAGAGGGCATCAAGGATAAATATAGAGGCTACTTTAAGGCAAAGAGGCTTGAGTGATGGAATATAGAAAGGGCCTTCAGTGACCCCTGGCTGAATACAGACAGGCCCATCAGGCAACCCACCTCAAAATATCCATAGGCCCTAACTGACCAATGGGTTTACAACCAGGCACAGTTACCAAAAAAGGGAAAATTCCATATATTGCCATACCTCCTCACCTTCCCTCTTTAAAAACAGCCCCCACCCGGTGCCTGGGTGGCTCAGTCCATTAAGCATCAGACTCTTGATTTCAGCTCAGGTCATGATCAAAGGGTCATGAGATCGAGTCCCATGTTGGGCTCCATGCTGGACATGGGGCCTAAGATTCTCTCTCTCTCCCTCTGCCCCCACCTCCCCCTCTAAAAACAACAACCGAAAAAACAGCTCCCACCCACTGCCTCCTTACACATTGGAATTCTCCAATCTCCAGGAGAATTCTTTTCACTGCCCGTGCCACCCACCGGCTTCCACCCAATCATTGCCCATTTGGGGCCCCCATCCAATCGGGAGAGACCCTACAATAAGCTGTGGAAGAAAGAGAATAAAACCCTTGGAATGAACAGAGTAGGTAGCTTTTGTCTTTCCCAGAGAATGACAGCCCTATCGGAAAAGGGGAGGGATTATAAAAGGTAGGAAGGACTTATGGAGCCATAAGGCAGTGTTGATGACTCTGAATTGCTGAGGTAGACAAGCAAAGCAGCGGGCTGCCACTAACAAGTGACCCTGTGTAAGGGAGAATGTGCTATGTTAAGTTTTCTAATCTTCTGTGTTATTTTGCCCAACTTATCATGAGACAGAGGTTCATGGCCCAGGACCTCCAACCAGAGGAAAAAGTTCACATGGCTGGAGCATGGGGGACAGAGTGCAGGGTGAAAACGAAGCACCTCTACCCCCAGAACAACTGTGCCCCTCAAAGGTCAGCTGTGTTCTCTTTGAGAGTGAGTTCCCTGCTCTGATGCTTCTCTCAGATGTTCAGAAACATCCCCAGTTGGCCCTGTGCATGCTGCCCTCAGAAGTGAGCACAGCTTTCCAGGAGAGCATACAGCTTCTGCAAATCAAGTTTTCTTTGATTTTGCTAATACCTCACCAATTTGTACCGAGGCTGCTTCTGAAGGTCTGACAATTTACCTGTGCATTAGGTTAAGTTTCACTATCCTCCCTTTAAAGAGTTCCAATTCTGTGTTTAGTTACAGGAGAGACAAGATGCCAGTCAAGAGGTTAAAGTTATGATAATAACCTGTATGTCAAGGCCTAGCAGTAAGAGTAGGAGTTAAGAGGCAGCAAAAATGAAAGCAGTTTGGGGCACCTGGGTGGCTCAGTCAGACTCTTGATTTTGGCTCAGGTCATGATCTCAGGGTTGAAAACAAGCCCTGCATTGGGCTCCATGCTGGGCATGGAGCCTGCTTTGGATTCTCTCTCTCTAAAAAAGGAAAGAAGTTTTAGGAGGAAAAAAAAAATGAAGGAATCATGAATTTAGGGTCTAATAGGTCTTCAACACAGATGCTAAATTGTCGAAGGGTGAAAGTGCCAGGGAGGGAGTCAAATAGAACAGCATGACCGAGGTGCTATAGATACCACCTTCCTTAGAAGGTCCTGGTCCTGGCTGGCTGCCCCACTAGCCAGGGTTCCTTGAAATCAAGGGCCCAGGGCTGGGGCTTCTGAAGAGGTCTCTGCAGGACTCAGGGTGTTGAGGTCCTAAAAGCAGCAGAAGTCAGGCTGGTTGAGGATAGTCAGTTGTTTTTTTTTTTAAAGATTTTATTTATTTATTTATTTGACAGAGAGAGAGAGAGAGATAGCATGAGGGGGAACACAAGTAGGCGGAGAGGGAGAAGTAGGCTTCTGGCTGAGCAGGGAGCCCAATGCGGGGCTCAATCCCAGGACCCCAGGATCATGACCTGAGCCGAAGGCAGTTGCTTAACCAACTGAGCCACCCAGGCGCCCCGATAGTCAGCCTCTTAAGACTGAGGCTTTATATACAAAAGTAGGAAAAGCCACAGTTTATATAGTGTCTCCCCCCAAGACTCATTCCCTTGGAGTTCTCAGCCCCTGCCCTCCCTAATAACACTAGTCATCATTCTGTGCTTTGTGCCATTCCCACAATTCCCTTATTTCTTTAAGCTGAATTCAATTTGGTGGGAAGGGGGAAAGGTGATCCTCTGGTTTCTCTGAAGTCACATTTGACAGGCCTCTAGGCCAATGTTTTGTCTTCTAGAGCTTGATGCTAAGCAGTGTGAAAAGAAGGGCAGGAAGGGCTCCACTCATCTGGATCAGGAATCTCACTTCTCAGTATCTGCCCTGCAGAGTCCTGTCTTCCCAAGGCATAAATGGGCTGAAGGTGCTTCCTTCTCCCACAGCAACTGGTTTCATTTCTCCTTAATCCACAGCCTAGTCCTCTGTAAAGGAGTAAGTCTGATGGAGGGGAAGAAAACTGGATTGAGGAGAAAGAAAGCAATGAAACCATTACAGACAGAAAATTTATTATGCAAGTAACTATGCAAACTGGAGCCCTGGCAAAGTGCCAGAGGACTTTCCCAATTAAGGTGTGCATCCCTGTATTACAGGTACCAAATCAGAGTAACACATCCTGGAGAACAAAATGAGAATTCAGAAAACACAGTTTCTCAGAGGCCCACCAGATCTGGACTCCTTTTTGAAACACTCTAATTCAGTAGCTCTGGGCAAATATTAACTGCTTGCTGAATGCTGCCTGTGACACTGGCCAACTGTTAAGGCACCATCTGTCCCGAGGAAGAAGAGGACTGTGGATGAAGAAGAGCTGCCTGGCTTCTAGGAAAGTAGTAGCTGATAAGGAGAGTCAAGGAAGATCTACTTCATCACTTTAAAATCAACTTTACTAGAACTGCTACTTCTCTAGTTTAGTAATTATTGAAATATTCACTCTGAAAGTAGCATGCCTTAATTCCCTTTCACTATATCATAAATTCTTCCAATACTGTTAGTACTCATTACTGCTATTGTTATCTCATTATTAAACTCTTTTGATACTGCTTGAATTGTACAAGCATACAAAACAGGACTTTTCTGCTAAGTTTTTACAGTGATTTACGTGTCGTGAAAAACAACACTGTATCCAAGTATCTAAGTAAAAAGATGGAGTTTCTTTATGATTGGGGTCAGTTCAGCTTCTAGTGATTTTTTTAGACTCATTGTAATAGTTCAAACAATGCTAACTGATACAGTAAGGAGATCATTAGAAGAAAATACTAGTCTAGCAGTACTAGATTATATCCTAGTGGTCAAAAAGAATTTCACACTGCACCCTAAGAATACATTGAATAGGTTCAAAAGTAAAACAGTTCTCTCATTTGTTTAATTGTTTAGTGAACAGAGCCTTGTCTACAGGCCTGAAGGATCTCTAGAGACCTAATGTGAAAAGATTCAATGTTATCAAATGACAATTTTTCACTGAACTCCCCCTCATATACAAATGACAATTATTCAATGAACTCCCCACCCCATATACTCCTAGCTGCTGGAACCCAGAAATGCTTGGGTGTATTCATCTCCTTGGATATGTACAAGTTACAAAGTACTTCTTCGTTTTTGTTTCACTGGTGAAGGGCAGAGTAAAAAATGTGGCAGAAGAAGGCTTGACCTTGATTAGTGATACCAGAAAATCCAAGACCTTTTCTCTGAGCCGAGAGAACACACTAGTAAGATCACAAAAGGATACATGTAAGTTGGGATGCCTTTTGCAGCCAAGTGTTTCCGAATCAGTCGCTCAGTACCATACCAGTTAAAACCTTTCGTGGCATGTCCAATGCGTGGAAGATGAACACTCGCTGTTAAAGAGGAAAAAAATAGATTATGATGTCTTCATTCATCAAAAACTTGATTCAGTATAAAATATACATAAAACTATACTCTTAGTCACTTTGTGGTTTCCAACAGACAAAATGCACATAATCATGGGGTATCCCACACAAAGCATAAAATTACAATGTCAAAAATATTCTGGGGCGGGACTATAATAGGAAAAATTAAGTAATTCTATTAAACACAAAGACCTACAGGCTCTGGAAATAAGCAAGTACAATGAAAATAGAATATGATCAATGTTGGAGATAAAAACTTTTTTTTTTTAAGAGAGAGGGAGGAGGGAGGGGGGAGAGGGAGAATCTGAAGCAGGCTCCATGCTCAGTGCAGAGCTGGAGATGGGGCTCGATCTCACGACCCTGAGCTCATGACCTGTGCTGAAATTAAGAGTCAGGCACTTAACTGACTGACCCACCCAGGCGCCCCAAAATAAACAGATTCTTTAACAGGTCAATCAGTTCAACAAACTCTGAGCTTTATTTGGAAATAAAACTTCACTCTGACTTTTGGCAGAGAACTGTGGCCTGGGTGCGAAGAGGGGAAGGGGTAGGATAAACAGCATTCCCCAATTGCATCTGACCAGATTACTACATCTCTGGTCTTCTGCTTCCTCATCTGTAAAATCATGACACAAATACCCCAGTGCAGGGAGATGGTCCACAGAGATAATGAAAGTGATCTGGAAAGAAAAACAGGCTAATCAAGATGATGTGGTCCACTTGTGTGGTCTCTTATATGGGGGCTTACCTTTACCATATATATTGAAGGAGGTCTTAACATTTCTCACCATCATGGAACACTACATCAAAAACTAATGATGTAATGTATGGTGATTAACATAACATAAAAAAAAAAAAAATCCTATCACATGCCTGGAAACAGAAAGTCATCTCCTGAAAAGCTTACCTTTCTTTCTCTTTGCTGCTAAATAGATCTTCTTCAGGCCCTCTTCTAGGGCTGCCATCTTAATGCCAGACAGAACATTGGAGCGATCACGGTGCTGAGCCACAATCAAGGCCAACTAGGAGGAACAGCCATCACATGGTTAACATGACCCAAGAAGGCTGCACTGTCAACTAAGTGACCTGCCCACGGAGGGGGCTTCGTCTCCATCTTCTTTGGAGGCTCTGCCTGAACCATGTCCTACCAAATTCATGACTTAATCTTCTATCGTAATTGTTTTATTTTGTGGTAACTTTATACACAAGCATTTCTTCTTCATTTTAAGGTATGTTAAAACCAGCGTCCAAAACATGCTGTCTTTCCTAAGTGCTCTCAATGGTAAAGAAAGAATTTTTCAGTCTTAGGAGCAGAAAGGACCTTACAGGTTCCTGTATCCTGCCCTCTGGCTGATGCTCGAGTCAGCTCCCAACCCCCATCCCATCTCTGTCCTAACCTAAGTGGGGGAGACTGGAGAGAGTGTCAAGGGAGCGTCTGAGACTGACATCCCTACCACCATATGGTAACGAGTTGTAAATAGTTTTCTTGAGTCACTGGTTTCTGAGCATCTGTGCCATAACCACTGTGTTGTTCACATTTTTTAGCATTTTAGAAATGACTGAAAAAATGAGCAGGCAGAAGCCACTTTGCTGTCAGCCACACAGACCACCAACCTCAAGAAAATATATGTCCCTTTCAGCCCAGTTTCTAAATTACTAAGTCAGTAAGATTTGACTCTAAATTGAATATGAATTCAGGCCCTTGAGAAAGTCAGGTTAAGTGTGGTTAATAAAACATCTTAGAGGAATTCTAGAGGACTGGTTAAGTTAAGAGACACTTCAGATGCAAAAAGATAATTTTTTTTTTTTTTTTTAAGATTTTATTTTTATTTGACAGAGAGAGACACAGCGAGAGAGGGAACACAAGCAGGGGGAGTGGGAGAGGGAGAAGCGGACTTCCCGCCGAGCAGGGTGCCCGAAGCGGGGCTCAATCCCAGGACCCTGGGATCATGACCTAAGCCGAAGGCAGACGCCCAACGACTGAGCCACCCAGGTGCCCCGAGAATTTTTTTTTTGAAAGAGAAAGCCTGAGTGGGGGGTGGGGCAGAGGGAGAGAATCTCTGAGATCATGACCTGAGCTGAAACCAAGAGTCGGACGCTTAACTGACTGAGCCACGCAGGTGCCCCCAAAGGAGAATTTTAATATAGGCAGAGGGAACTATGGATCAGCTCCTCTCCCCTGCTTATGGCTGGCTACTAAACACAATCTTTTACACAACTTTTCAGATAGTAAATGATGAAATGCTTGGAGTTCTGAGTCATGTTTTCTTATTCAGTGTTTCCTGAGCATTTCCTATAAGCTGGTACTCTGTGAGGTATTGAGGATAAAACGACAGGATGAGTCCACACTCTTAGGAGGAGCCTGCCTAAGGTATGTGCCGAGAACAAGCAAGTTAAAGGACAGTGTTCCAGGGGCTGTGATGGACAGAAGCAAGGAGGATGGAGGGAGTGTGGTGGAGTATGAGGCCCAACCTGCTTGTTATGGGTTGAATTGGGTCCTCTCAAATTCCTATGTTGAAGCCCTAACCCTCAGTACTTTAGAATGTGACTGTGTGTGCAGACAGGGCCTAAGAAAATAAATTAAAATGAGGCCATTAGGGTGGTGCCTGATCCAGTCTGACTTCTGTGCTTACAGGAAGAAATTTGGACATAGACTGAGACACCAGTGATGTGCACACAGAGAGGAAAGACCGTGTGAGGAAACACACAGGTGGCCACCCCTAAGCCAAGGAAAAAGGCCTCAGAGGAAATCAGCCCTGCCAGCACCTTAATCTTGGCCCAGTAGCTTCCAGAACTGTGAAGAAATTAATGTTTTCTAAGCCACCTAGTTGGTGATGTTTTATAACAAACTATAGAAATGATCTCTGAAAGTATAGTTTTGGTGTTTTATTATGACAGCGCATGCAACTAGAGGCCAGCAGGAACAGGAGAGGTTTTAGGAGGAGGTGATGTGAGCCAAAATTTAGGTCTGATAAGAGGTGTTTTTTTACTTACCAAATCTTGCCCTTTGTTTCTTGACTCTTTATCATCAATAGGAAATAAAAGGACGCCTCCCAAATTCAAGTCTGAGGTAAAATAAAAGAGCAACAGACAGAAGGTGAGGTTCACTCTGGACTGAGACCCCTGAAGAGGGACTCTTGTGAATGCCCCGACTCCTTTCCTTTTTGGCCAATCAGGTTGCAATCTCACTTTTTCTCACTCTCTTAGCTTCAGTCACTGCCTTTGCCAGGCACTCACATGATCCACTCCTGAGGGGTTTTTTTTGGCTCAAAAACTTTCATTTTGTTAATGTTTTATTGTGGTAAAATATACCTAACATAAAATTTACCATTGTAACCATTTTTAAGCTCACAGCTCAGTAGCATCAAGTACCATCACACTGCTATGCAATCAATCTCCACAACTCTCTTCACCTTGCAAAACTGACACTCCATACTCATTAAACATCTTCTCCCCATCTCCCCTACAACCACCACTTTTACTTTCTACCTCTTGAATCTACTGGAGTTACTTCATCTAAGTGGGTTCACACAATACTTGTGGTTTTTTTTTTTTTTTTTGGTGACTGGCTTATTTTACTTGGCATAATGTCCCAGGATTCATCCATGTTGTAGCATGTGTCAGAATTTCCTGGTTTCCAAGGCTGAATAATAGCTCATTGTACACCGCACTGTTTATCTATCCATCCATCAGACACCTGGGTTACTTCCACCTTTAGGCCATTGTGAATAATGCAACATGGGTGTACAAATATCTGTTTGAGTCCCTGCCTACAGTTCTTACAAGAGGGATTGATGGATCATATGGTAACTTTATTCTTAATTTTTTCAGGAAACACCATACTGTTTTCCATAGCAGCTCCATCATTTTACATTCGCACCATCATCACAAGTGTTCTAATTTCTCCACATCCTCACAAGCACTTGTTATTGTCTATTTTTTGAGATTAACTGACATATAATATTGTGTAAGTTTAAGGTGTACAGCATATTGATTTTCACATTTATACTGCAATACAATCGCCTCTGTAGCATGAGCTAACATCTCAATCACATCCCATAACTGTCACTCCTTCTAGTGGTAGGAACAATTAACGACCTAGTCTCTTAGCAATTTTAAGGTTTACAATAAAGTTCTGTTGTCTGTAGTCCCTGCACTGTGTATCAGACCTCTAGGACTTAGTTATCTCGTAAGTGCAATTATGTACCTTTAAACATTATCTCTACCATTTCTGCCACCCCAGCCCCTGGTAACCACCATTTCATTCTGGGTTTTTTTTTTTAGTTTCAGATTCCACATTAAGGGACGCATGTGTGTGTGTGTGTATACATCTTCTTCATCCATTCATTTGTTGACAGACACTTAAGTTGTTTCCATATCTTGGCTATTGTGAATAATGCAGAAATCAACATGGGAATGCAGATATCTCTTTGATAACCTGTTTTCATTTCCTTTGAATATATATCCAAAAGTGGGATTACTAGATCATATGATAGCTCTAATTGTAATTTTTTGAGGAACCTCTATACTGTTTTCCATAGTAACTGCACCAGTTTGCATTCCCACCAACTGTGTATCACAGTTCTTCTCTCCATATCCTCATCAATACTTATTATCTCTTGTCTTCTTGATGATAGCCATTCTGACAGGTGTGAGGTCATATTTCATTGTAGTTTTGATTTGCATTTCCCTGATTACTGATGTTGAGCATCTTTTCATGTCCCAGTTGGCCATCTGTACAATCTTCTTTGGAAGAATTAATCGGACTTTTTTTTCTGTTGAGTTGTCCAAGTTCTTTGTAAATGCTGAAGAGTAACCCCTTATCCAATATATGGTTTTCAAATATTCTCTTTCCTTCTGTAGGTTGCCTTTCCATTTTGTTTTTTTCTTTTGAAGTGCAGAAGCTTTTAAGTTTGATGTTGTCCCACTTACTGATTTTTTTCCTTTACTTTTTTTGGGGGGACTTTATTTTTATTATGTTATATTATTATGTTATGTTAAT